GCTCATGTGTTTGGGTTTTGGAAGTATCCCAGTCTTCTGCTGAGGCTAGTAAAATTCCTTATAAAAAAAAAAACGTTCCTGTGAAGGTTACTGAGGTGTACAAGAGAAAAACACTGAAGCACCAACGAGAAAACAGTGCTAACTGAAGTGAAATCCTGAAAAGCATGACAGTGTTTGCTTTTTACATCATATTACTAATAATTTACTCAGGGATAATTTTTTTAAATTATTATTTTTGGCGAGGATAAAAATGCTTAGTCAGTTATAAAATACTATGTTATGATGTGACACTTCATGGAAATTATGAGGCAACATTGTGTCCATTCCAGTGTTGTGGTACAGGCAGGTGCCGTGTGAGGTTTTTTCCTTATAGTCCTGATTTTGACATTTCCAGGTACTGCCATTGATTGCTGATATTTTCCTTTGCCCCTGAGATGCTGTTTGACAGAAGCTGTCAGTCTTGCTTGAGATAATGCTCAAGCGTAGACAACACAGACGCCAACTTGTATATTCAGGGACAAAAGTGTTAATCCATGGGGCCAGCCAAATTCTCAAAATGTTGCATCGTGGTCTCCACAGAAGAACACTTAGCTTGAAATACTGAAAGCTATGTGATCTTGTTGGTGATTACATGATGAAGTCAAACTGAAGCACTTGACCAATGTGTATTCAGGAGTGTTAAAAACTAGCTTAAAAATATTCCTGTTATCTTAAAGCAAAAAAATAAGATTTGATACAACTTAAAAAAAAAAAAAAAGAAAAGAAAAAGTAATGGTTCTTTTCTGCTTTAGGCTTCAAAGATCTCCTTTTCAATATAAACCACAAATATTTTATGACTAATTTTTAAATGAACAGAGATCGTTAGATTTACAACAGCTTAACTTGCATGCTCAAATGATGCTTGCTACTGTGTTTGAAAACCTTTCAGTATTCAAATTTAGATTTTAAGGGTTTTGTAAGATGTTCTTGAAACCCGGTCTTGAACACTATCTATGTCATCTTAGGCTATAACCAGTATAAATGCAACTAGATGAAAACTGTATTGAGACTAAGCAGTAAAAACCAGTCAGCAAATAATTTGCACTGAAATAGCAGTGCATCAATCAGGTAGAAAAAAAGAAATGTGAACAAGCTGGTTAGTATTTGACAGTTAGGACGTTTCCAAATCCTGCTTTTCTATGATCGAATGTCCTATAACTTCTGAAGAACCTTCCAGTGGTACTTCTCTTCCTGAAGGGCTAAATCTACAATTGGTGTAATTTTATACACTCACAAAGATTTAGTTCTGTATATCTAACCTGAAGGTATCATTTCAAAACAATTTATGCATGTGTGTTTATACAAGAATACTAGCTGAGATGAGTCATTCAACAGCAGTGAGATATTAGTAAATCAGGTATTTTGTAAAACGCACAAAAGGTCTGGTTGCAGAAAACGCTGGCCAGCTGCCTGGCTCTCACTGGCATCTTCGGGGGATGTCGGTGGGACTTCTCAGCATGGGAGTGGAGGGATATATCTGCTTCACTCCTTCAAGAATGTACACACTGAAAGCATTACAGTACCAGGCACTCGGGAGATTCTGATGGGGTGTATATAGTTATCTGTTTTTCGGAGCTTTCTGAGGATTTCAGTTTGACTGGATAGCTTTTCTTGAAAGAAGGATCTTCAGAAAATGATATTGTTCTCAAACTGATGGCTCTTTTATGGGATTAAGAAAATTTGAGGCACAGCTAACAGAAATGGTCCTGTAAGCCATCCATCCTGCCTGTAGTTCTGCCTGAAGGGAATGAGTGTGAGTCTGCGTGGATTTGTTTGGCTAGCTGTAGGGCTAGGTGATGTCATGTTTCTGAATAGGAGTAATCTATTACAGGAAATTATATCCATGTTTATTCACATGTCAGTCTTTTTTTTTTTAATTTGCATTTTTGAAGGCTGCACATCAGCACAGACTACCCCTGCCTTCAACATATAGGCTGCCTGGCCTTCACTTGCTGTGACTGACTGTGCCAGCAAGGCAGCAATTAATCCTCCCTCCCTTCGTGACACACCATTGAGTGTCCTGCAGAGAGAGAGCAGGAGCCCATCACAAGGGACACAGGCAGTTTCCTAGAGCTACAATAAGAGCAAGGGCTTCAGTGACTTGTTGGTGATTCTTTGAAAACTGGTCAGAGGCAGGGCCTGGCCTGCTTCGGGAAGAGTTTCAGAGTGAAATAAATGAGGGAAGAAGAGGCAACACAGACCAGATTGAGGACACGGGGTCTCTCTGTTAGCTCTCAGATATGGAGGTGGAATGCACGTTTGTTGCAATGGGGGAAAAAATTTCCATCTTGATAGATGTGAGGCTCCCAGAGCAGTGGGGCCATCAGCTCAGGAATGCGCAGCACTCTGCAGAGCTTTCGATGAACTGTTTTTATTTGGCTGAAGAAAGCTTCTCACAAGCTGTTTATCCAAACTATCATAAATAGACTAAAGCTGGGATTTATACAGTCTAAAGGGCCGCTGCAACACTTGTGACACGGGGCAAAGTCTCACTCACAGGCATTCTCTATCCTCGGAGGCTACGTAGTCAGCCTTTTACCAGTCCCAATGTAAGTGTTTCACCTAAAGTACAATTAATGTTTTTTTCCTCCTTCTTTTCATGTGATTATTTCATTCTGGCACCAATTTTGTTGATGCACTTTGCAAAGCTTCAAAGGGTCTTTGTTCCAAGGAGCTGTAATCCAGGGTTGTTAACAGCATTTATCGTGTTACTGAGAATGAATGTGCATACTGAGAATGACTTGAGCAGCATAGAGCTTGGGAGCAGTAGTATTCACGGATGGTGTTTCTATCTAACAAAACTGTGCTAGTTTATATAAGAGGTATGATCCTCGTCTTAGCCCATTATGTCAAGATGGATGGTTTGACTCAGGGAAGAAATGTGAGGACCCAACCTATAGATTCCTGAGGCTAGCACAAATCATATGATCTATTTTATGTATATGAAGAGTCTGTTAAGCTTACTTTACTGAGGAGTGAACATTTATGTTTTTATCTCTCTCTCTTTTTTTGTTTTTTTTTACTATCTGGATTATGTATTTATTTATTTATTACATGGTTTACTTTCTACTTCCTGGTTAGCAGCCAACAGCTCAAATGCCCCACCTGAGATTAAGCATTATTGGTCTTTCTAAGAGAGCAAGACATTCTTGTTCTATTTCCAATAAGATAGTAATAAAGCAGTTCATACTATTTGGCCAAGAAAATTGGTTGATAACTGGTGAGACACTGGCACAGGTTGCCCAGAGAAGCTGTGGCTGCCCCCTCCCTGGCAGTGTTCAAGGCCAGGCTGGATGGGGCTTTGGGCAGCCTGGTCTGGTGGAAGGTGTCCCTGCCCATGGCGTATTCAATATGAAAAGACCTTTAAATCTAGCCAAGAAAGAAACAGTGAAATAGAATACGTTCCAGTGAAAAATAAAGCACACACTCGTAACAATGGAGGAAATTAAGCAACAGTCCAGGACATGTGAAGTGATGGATTCGCTTAATCTGTTGAAGTTTTCACAGTAAGACTGAGTGCCTTTCTCATCAGTAACACTGATGGAGCATCTGGGTGAATTAGAACAGTCTGTGAAATGCATGAAGTCACAGCATAAAATAAAACTTTGCTTTTAAGCTGTAGGGCTTTGTTTACCTGCAGTTTTCCTTGTGGCTGAATTGTGAGAAACAAGGGAGGAAATAAAATAAAAATAAACCAAACATTTATCAAAGGAGATTAACAAGAGAAATGAGTCCTAACACAACAGCTAGAAAAATAGTAAAAAACATGTGAAATAAAGCGAATGGTCAAATTATGTTCTCAGATATATATTCAGATATACCAGTGTAAGCTTGTCTATAACTGTGAACAGTTATATCTTGTACCCTACAATAAAAAGGATTATCTGCAAGGCCACTTTAATAGGAACAACCATTTTTTTACACAAAGAAGGGAAGAGCTGAAGCAAAAGAAACAACAGCAGAAAAGAGGGACATCTAAAGTAACTCTAGTTTGGTGGGATGAAAATGTAACTTGTGAAGCAAGAGAGACCTTAATTCTGCATTTCTTTTTTTCATAGTAAATTAGAGTTTGTGTTCATAATTAGTATTGAGCATCTTTCAAAGAGTCTTTTCTGTACCTATTACTTGGTAACAGGAGATATGGGCAGCAAGGTAACTCATGCAATCCTGTGCCCAAATGACTGAGCTGGTTATCAGTGTGGCACTTCTATGTCCATCAATGCCACCATGCCCTTGCCAGTGTTGCTTAGGAAGCTGAGTGCAAGGGGAGTTTTGGAAAGGGAAAATCCTTTCCCCCTTTTGTCTGACTCATATCAGAGGAGTCCCATCCTTCTCAGAAAGCGCAGGCAGACACTAGCCAGCTTGTCGTATTTCCAGGCTTTATGCCTCACCTGGGTGATTTCTCCTATCCAGAAGCTAATCAGCTGCCATCATCACTGCTGACAGAGGGACTAGCTACAAGGAAAGAAGGAAGCTACTTTTAAAGGAGATTCTGTGAGGAATGGTGGTCAAAATTATTTTTGAATTATTTTGTAAGTAATAGTCTGCAAAAATTTATTGTATGGGAATATTATGCGTTGCCAGTAAGGCTAACAAAATTAAGGGAGACCTCAGTCCGTGAATCATGTAGAAATTCAGAACAAAAAAACAAAGCAAAGTTTCTAAGTATACATTCATAAAACAACAAAACATAAGTTATATCATTACTTGTAAAGCTCTAATCTTGGCCTGCTTCAGTGCATTTGAACTATTCGTTCTGTTGCCAGCAGATGCAAGTTAAAACATGCTTTTCAGATCATTCTGTCTTGATCCCTCCTGAGAGTGTCCGACCAAAAGCCACCTTTGCCAAATACTGTGCCATTCACTGGAACAATTCTTATATCAAGGTTCCATCAAAACAAACAAATGATGAACTAATCAACACTTGCAAAGAAAACACTCTTGATCTAAAAACACTTTTGAGGAGGTAACTGGTTCTTTCCTTTATAGGTTAGCAAGTTTATTGTTGCCTTCCTTATCACACCAACAGAATGGGAACGTCCCACAGCACGGCTGCAGCCAAGGCTTCCACACCACGTTGTACACGGAGAGCTGCTCTGGGACTGGAGTCAGTGTCCTGCGGTGCTCTTCTGTGGCTCTTCTAATTTCCCTTATCACAGTGTGAAAGAGGGGCTCGGTGTCAGCTGACAGAGGTTTGGCCTCAGAAGGGTCTCGTGAGAGATCAAACAGCAATGGAGGGTCATGATGTGTCACACCTTCCCCAAAACATGGGCAAAATCCTCTGTCGTAACAACCCCCAGCTCCGAGAGGACGGAAGACAGGGGTCACATAGTGAGCCTTCCAGATGGCTCCACCTGGCAGGAAAGAAAGAAGGCTTGCAGTGATAATGATGGTTATCAGAAGGCTTTAGAAGAGTTAATGCGTTTTCTAGAGTTCATTTCTGGTTGCACTTCAGCTCTACACTTACTAGTTGATACAGTATTGTAATTTCATTTAAAATTGAGTGCCACAGAATTAAACCAATAATGTAAAATTATTTCTGACATTTTAAAATATCTCCAAAGTTTTCAGCAAGTATCAGCTGTTGCTCACTTTGTTTCTTATGAAGACATGAAAAAGCATTTGGGGTTTCCATGGCTCGCTTCCATGTTAAGGTAGCAGAGGGACAGACAGAAGCCTGAGGCAAGGGTTTCTCTGTGAGACAGGTAGGGCACAGAATCCACAGGCCTTGCATTCAGGTAGAGAGGTGGGTGAGCCCCATCCTGAGCACCAGTAGCCTGCCTGGCATGCCATGTGCCTTGAAGCCACAAACAAACTCTTTGTGCTGTACAACGCAGGCAATGCTAGTAAGTTCTTTATGACCTTATACCTGGAACTACTTGGAAAGCTGCAATCTCAGAAAAAATGTGTTAGACAAATGTGCCCTCCCGTAGATTGAACCTAATTCTTGGGAAAGAAGTTCTGTACTCACTGTCCTTCTGGTGCCACCGCACAGCATGTAAGTGAATGCCACAGTAATGAAACAGGAACTCGTGCTCCGAGTGCTCAACTGTTCCTCGCAGTAAAGGCATCAGATCCCGGCCATCGATCACCCTAGGAGAAAAAAAGGAGACCATCAGACTGAGGTAAGCTGTACAGGACTGCATTCCTTCTGCACGCCTTTTGCTGGAACTGGCAACTGTGAACGAGGAAGATGCTTGTAGAAGATTGCAGGTACATGCTGAATCTCAAATGTAGAGAGGTGACTGAGCTGTGGTAATATTTACGTGTCTAGAAAACGAGCAGGAGTGAGAAAGAAGATGTCAGACTCTTAGAATGTGTTTTCAAACTAGATATTACGTTGTTTTGGGGGAGAAGGAGGAATAAAGACACTTGTGTTTGTACCTATCTTGGGGTAGCGCCCCTCCAGCCAGATGAACTGCTGTAGGATAAATGTCCATAAGGCTTGTAGGTTCATCAATAGCTGTTCCTGCAGGCAACACTCCTGGCCACCTAAATATCCCTGGGACACGGATTCCTCCTTCCCAGCCTCCCATAGCTTTTCCACCTTTCATAAAAAAAAAAATAAATTCTCATTAAAAAAAGTTTCGTTTAGAATAAAAAGAAATTTTAAACAAATGCTATTGTATTATCATGAGCTTTCCTTACCTTTATGAGCCTTCCTTACCCTTTTGTTTTTGCCACTAAGCTCCTTCTCAGCATCAGTGAAAGTGTGCTCACTATATCAGACCCCTTGAGTGACCTCACACACTTACTCCCTTCTATTGTTTTAAAAAAAAACCATTTCCCTGTCAGAACTCGGTGTGGATGAAATTTTCAGGCATGAAGTGACATCCCAGCCTAGTTCTCCTCTTTTTTTTTTTTTTTTACAATCCTAAAGCAAGGGTTCAGATGTAAGATGCAACCAATATTTAGTGAGATATATATTGAGTTGTGATCAGTTGCCTCATGAGGAAGTGACAGTTTGAGATTTCATGCTTATAAGGAACACTCGCACAGGCTAGAATTGTCTACCTTTTCAGATGCCTAATTAGAATGAGACAAATTTGCTTCTCAGTGATAAAACACTGTTACTCCTTAAGTGTACAACCTTACCTAAGCTTTGGCAGTGTCCTGAGTACTTTACTGGTTGTTGCTGGGTTGTCACCATCACTGACAGCACTTACCTCTGTATATTCCATTCCAACCACCCAGCTGCCTTTTGCCTTCTTGTCTTTCCAGCCATCCACCATGATCAGAGGCAAAGTAAACTAGCGTAGTATTTTTCAAGCCTTCCTTGTCAATAGCATCTAGAACCTGGCCTGAAAACACAGGAATGTGTGTGTATCAAAAAGCAAAAGGATCACTTATACTACATAAATTTTAGCCTCTGACTTGTAAACACTGGTCAATGTAATTTCTTACCTATGTAGGGCTGCTCATTGTTTAAAATAAGCGTTTTTTAGGATTGAGATTTGTAGTTGTGATTTCACTGTCTGTAAAAGCACAGAAAATTTGTGATGTAACCCTTTTATTGTTGTTTTTTTTAATAAAGAAGTGCAAAAACCACAGTCACAGACAGGAAGCCTGTCTTGTAAAGGGTGGAAGTGCCATGTGCTGTAAAAATATGGAAAGAAAGCATGATCCAAGGCCCCAAAAGTTAGATTCTGTATCAGTGGTGGCCATTGTGAGAAATGAGGAAAAAATGTCATGTACCCTTATCTAATATTGTCTAGACCACAGTTAATTATTTGCATTAAATGACTAGCTGGATATAATATACATTAATAATATAGTTCTTGAGCTTTTTCTGATGTTGTTAATTATATTTGTGGTATGTAAGTATTTGACAGGTAGGTTTGAAAACCAGTTCTTTCTGTATGTGTACCTGATTCTCATCCCTTCTGCAAATGCGGCTACTTTTCCTGCACCATAACTGGGTGATGAATAATTCTCCTTCCCCTCCAAAACACAGGCTGAAAAATAACACGAATCGATCTTCTGGGGCCATACCAATTAACATTTATGAATTTAAGAATAGGCTGAAAAATATTCAGTATTCTGCTGAATGCAACAGTCACAGAGAAAAAGCCTGCTGGTTTACACCTGGAATTAGTTTGCTTATCAGTTTTATCGCCTTCTGATGTGTCCTACTTAGAAATAGATAAGACATGACCATAACAGGAACCAAGGGGACATGCTTAAAACTGGTAAACAGTAGACCAAAAAAAATGACTGAACAGAAAGACTACATTTGATCCAAGACTGGAGAAAATAAAAAGCCAACATTATAAGCCAACAGTACTCATACAGGACTGAAAGATTTTCATGAAAAGCTTAGGAATTTTTGCTTCTTGTTTTTAGGTCTTTTTCTTGTTCTTTTAATAACAATTGTTATTATTTTTATTATATGTTCAGACCCAGCTATTAGGTAGTCAGAGACATTGTTATTTGCTATGGTGACTTACCAACCATCCAGTCCATCTCCTCTACATTGTCTCCGTATAAACCATGTTTGCTCCTCCCAAGAAACTTCTCTGTGGTGAGGAGAGGGGTGTGGGAGTGTAAAAAGGAAAGAAAGAGGAGGAATGGCTTGTGCTTATTTCTAAAAAACATAAATCAACACTTTGTTATTAGGGAGGAAGGTTCTTTATATGTACAGAGACCAGTCATAATGGCAAATGGTGTTATTTGCATATATACATGTTGTAACAATCACTTCAGAAACGTCTTACTTTGTAAGGTATTAAACCCCGGTGATTAGGATCTGTCTGTTAAAAAAATGTTTGGCTTGTATAAAATGACCCTATTTATTTCCTGAATCATGGGTAGAAAAGTTCCAGATTGAAGCTCTGCTTTCTTCTGTTGCAAACCACCACTGTGCTACCGAAATGAAGGCAGCAGGTTCATCTGCTGCCAGCTGTTGCTCATGAATCAGTCTGTATGGTTAGGCTACATCATAGCTCCGCTTCTCCTTCCCTGGCCCACACATGCATTTCTGCCATCAGCTGCTATCCTTTAAAGCTGCAATGTTGGTCTTGTTGATGGAAATACGTATTTCCTCAATATAGCCTAGAAATATTCAATCCAACCCATGGAAATTTGGAAATGTTATCAGCTTTAGTGAAGCTAGGAATAACAGTCATCATTAAGCAGCAGCTAATTTTTTTGTTTAATAATATGTCATAATTAATATTATTAATAATCAATAGGCATAACTACTTATAATCCTATGTAATACTACAAAACTCATGAAAACTTCACATGGGAAAGCGCTGTTTAAAAGTTGCGAGACATGCAAGAACCAGAAAAATGGTGATCAAAGGAAACACGCTTTACCTTTCAATAAATGAAATGGACTCTCTCAAGATAAGGGACGTAGTCCTGTCTGTCACCATTGGCTGCTCAGTAACTTCGTGGTTTCTCATCATAATGCAGTTCCAGTATCGCACAAACCCATAACTTGAGAACCAGGATACGAAGAACAGGAGACTAAACCCAGCAAGGCAGGTCAGCATTTTCCAGCGGACTGAAATCAAGCCGGTCAGTCTTCCCAGGGCAGCAGTGAGTGTGACAAGGCCAATCATCTGAGTGGAAAGCCAGAGTTTCCTTCTAAAGGCTCTGTCCATCTCTGGTGTTTCTGTTGGTTGGCAGTCACTTATCAGTGTAAAAGGCATCCCATAAAAATAGTCAAACCCATGGTTTAAAGGATGATGACAATGGTCATTGCGGGATTCACAGTTAACACCTTGATGCCACTTCCCTGAAAACACAGAATATTAAAATAATATTTAAAAATAAAGAGATAATATTTAAAAATGGGCTTTTCCTCATACAAAACATTTCTCAAAAAATGGTTCATTTTTTTCCTACTTGTGATAACTTCTTCATCCTACACATATGTACTGATATGTAGTGATATAATGGGAAATATCTTACGACTGATGAAAGTAAACCTCTACAAATTATAAATTTCCAACCAAATTATTGGTGCTCTGTACACAAGTTCATACCCTGTAGCTTTGATCAGATGTAAAAAATTGGACTATAAAGGGAACTAGAAACAGAAAAAATCAGATTTCAGAACCGAGCAAAACCATACAGCCTTCCTGGAGACCTGTCAGGTATGAAATAGTTCTTTTGTAAGCACAGGGCGAAATAGCATTATTCTGTTGTCTTTTTATCTTCAAGATGCTATTGCAGACTTGTTTCTGGAAAGTTTTAAACAGCTTGATGTCAGGACTATGGCAGCACTTAGTGACGTGTTGGTGCCAGACTGGTAGGGGAAGCTATGGATGGTGTAGTCAAGTAACTTGCAGCTCAACAGTGGATTTGGTAGACAAACCACCAGATCCAGAAGAACTTGAGCTCGGCAGATCAGGATTTTTCATGAAACTGTACCTATTTAAGTAACTTAGCTGATAATAATACTCTGTATACTGGATGAGAATAAAAGTCCTTGTTTTATAAGTATTTTTGTCATTTATTTGTATTCCATCAAATTTTAAAAGTCAAAGCCTTCTTTTAAATTCTGAAGTCTTCATGTATCAAAAGGAACATCTCCTGACCTTTGCAATACAATTTGGTCTCTTTTGTGAACATGTGTCCATTATTATGATGAATGGCGCACCAAAATTCTTCCCCTCCAGTCCATTCCAATAGACTGGTTAGGCATGCACAGGGAGACATAAAACATTGGCTCATTTGGCTTAAACACTAAAGCTTGTGAATATCTGAATCAAGTAGACCAAAATGTACCTCTTATCAGAGAGATGCAGTTTAATTGCATTTTATGATCTCTGATATAATTCAGGAGTCGAATACCAGATCTATAGATCAATCTGAACTTTCAGAATTTTACTTGAAAACTAATTTTCATCTCATTCTTATTGTGGAATAAGGAACTATGTACTTAGATAAGGATATCACACAAAAGAAATGGTACATTATGTTACCAGTACATATACTAGCAGCCAACCCTGAGTAGGTTTCAATAGAGTTGCTGTGCATTACAGTAGGAGCAGAAAAGACCTGCTTCAGAGGAAAAAATATGGCTGCTCTTTGGATACAAATATAAAGAAAGAGTGGAAGTTCTATTCTAGGTGGATGAATTGCTTTCAGCTAAAATCTCTGCTCATTTTACCTCTTGACATATTTAAAGCCAGCTACAGAATGAAAAAGGTTTGTAATCAATACATAGATGCATTGGTCATGAACACAGGTGCAGCTAAAGTATCCTTGGACTTCAGAATCACTCCAACACCTAAATCTCCAGCTGAGGTCGATAAAGGCTTGTGATGTACTACGAAAGACTCAAAGCGTAATATTAAGATAAATTAATCTTTGAGGGCATATGTTATACAACATTGGCTTTCTGACTGCAAATAAGCTGGAAAGCGTTCCCCAACAAAAAGTCTCATTGTCACATCAATCTGCAGGTTATTAATAGGATTTAACTTTGCAATTAACCTGGTTGCGCTCAGAGCAAAACAATCAGAAGCCATTCAGGTGAGACTATTTAGTGCTCATTCAGCTGTGGTGATGTTGTGTAAGATTTCTTGCTTCAGGACTTGAATGTGAAGCTGTTCTTACTTTTTTTTTTTTTTTTGGTGTCACTTATCATCAGTGCTTTCTGTCATCCCCTGTGGTGCAATTAATCAGAATCTGTCAATCTGGTTAAATTAAGTGATGCTCTTAATGTCTATAGTGTGATTTCAGCTGAGATGTCCCCAGGGGAAATGCCAGCCTATTTTGCTAGCTAGCTTCTAGGAGGTATGCAGCACAACCTCCCTGTAGAGCAATTCCTTTGGCAAAATGGAGAAAAATCTGATTGTTTTGTTAGTAATTACATGCTGAAACCAAGCTGAAGCACGTGTCTAATAGACATGGTCTTTTTTATGAGCTGATTAAAACAACTAAAAGAATATTGCTACAAAACTAACAGGAGAAGATTCAATAATATAGAACTTAAATGTTCAGAGGGCCTCGCTTAGTACTATCCTGTGTTGTTTAGATTTATTCTGCTGAATGAATACAAATCCATTCCTGCAGACACTTTTATTAGTAAATTCGGTTTATTTGTGCAGCCAGTATTTTTATGTTGTCAGACATAGATTTTGGATATTGACGTTTAGATGCTCGGACAGGGTAGAGCATATAGCTGAAAATTCAGCTCAGGAACGTTTGTGTTTTATCTGTCTGTGGAACTATGTGACGTGTCTAAGATAAATAATTACTTGAAACTGGATTGTGGACAGAAGTTACAACTCTATTAAAAAAAAAGTCCTATAAAGTATAAAGTAAAATTGAATTTGTATTAATGCTGAAGGAAGCAATGTTTTATGGGCTGTACTGAAATATTGTTGACCTATAGTGTCATGCTGTAATTAAAGAAAAAAATAATTGCTTTGTTTTGGGTTTTGAGAGGCCAAATCCTGTGATATTATGAACTGGCTCTATTGTTTTAAGAGGCAGCTGTTCCTTTTTGTTGTGAATCTTCTCTGAGCTGTGTAAAGTATCGTCATGAGGGTTCAGGACAGGACTACGAAGATGATGAGGGGACAGGACCATCTTTCCTGTGAGGAAAGGCTGAGAGACGGGGGGCTGTTTAGCCTGGAGAAGACTGAGAGGGGACCTTATCAATGCTTCTAAAAGTCTAAGGAGTGGGTGTCAAGAGGACGGGGCCAGGCTCTTCTCAGTGGTGCCCAGTGACAGGACAAGGGGCAATGGGCACAAATTGGAGCACAGGGAGTTCTGCCTCAACATGAGGAAAAACTTCTTTACTCTGAGGGTGACAGAGCACTGGAACAGGCTGCCCAGG